TGATTATGTTTATGTTTTCCTGTATTAAATGCTTTCGATTGTTTGGCCAACAGTTGAATTGATTCTAAATGGGAATGAACTCGAGAGAGGATTTCTCGTTTGATTTTAGGAAAACATAGCTCGGGTTGTGGAAACGGAGACGTGATGCACCTCGGGTAGCCCTTAAGGACTTGACCTAAATGCTCTCTTAATATCAGGTTCTGAACGGAGACGTCGGACCTGTGGGTAGACTCTAACTACACTGGAGACGGGGGTTAGGGTATTTTAGTGTATGGGTTAGCGAACATAGAATTGACAATAGATTCGGATTTGTAGATCATTATCGATAGTACACTGGTGGATTTTACCCTAGAAGCCATCACACGTCGGAATTCCTCGTTTTTACTGGCGGACCGTTATTTTTAGTTTTTCTTTCCTTTTAGCTTCATTTCATCTCCCATCTTTTTCTCCCGTCTAGATAAAGTTTAGGATAGTATAATTACGGTACTTGGTAGATTTAGGAACTTAATTCCCTGTGGATCGATATCTGGAATTCACTATTCTGCAAAACGCGATATTGTACACTTGCGGTTATTTATACGTAGGTTTTACGCGTATCACACCTCAGTTGCCATGTAAGCCCTAAAAGACACGCCGCATCCCTGCTAGCTAAGCGTCAGTTAGGTTTGTTCGATGCTACATCCGGTGAATACACCGGGTGATTATTAACCGTTGATCTGCACAAAATCACACACACACCCATGTGTATGTGTGCTTTCACCACATCAACGTTTAATAATTACCCGGTGTATTTCACCAGGTGTAGCATCTCAAAGACCACGCTAGTTATATCTAATGATTAGTTAAAATTTAGTTATCATCCAAATTTCGCTGATGTGGCGCTGGAAAAAGTAGAGGTAAATTTCTAATTTCACCCTAAAGTAAGCCAGCATGGCACACAATTTAGAGATATCTTAATTCAAATTATCAGTATGACTTCAAATTAATGTGCTAAAAACCATAAAAACAATGAAAACCTTAATTCAATCCCAAATGTAGAGAAAATATATGAATTAAGAGAACTTGAAGTAAATACATGTATATCCAATAATAAGGTATATAATATAGGCAAATATTTTTCTTTGTAAACAAATATTCTCAGGATTTTCAAGATCACTGAGGGTACAGTCAAAAGTGTAATATTTAAACTACCCCCAAAAGAAATTATTTCGTTTCTAGATCGATTAGAGTACGCGTTGTTTATTAGAGTGATGAAGAACAAGTAGCCAGAAGAATTCTTTAAGAAATACAAGATATTTAACGAGACCGATTCGGTAACACGTACGAGTCTCATCACCTAATAAGAAAAAAAAGAATCGACAATGTTTAGTAAGATATTCTTAACTGCTCCCGTTTACTTAATCAAAAAAGATTATGTGGATATTTCAAATCTATACTCATTTGATTATAGTTTGTTTTCTCACTTTGACTATATATTATATCCAAACCCTAAACCAATGTTGAAAATGAACCCCTGTCACATTAACACATTAAACAAATGAAGAGAATTAAGAGAATTGTTTAAGTTATAAGCACTGTCAATTAATATATCAGGTCAGAAAACGATGAAGATCGTGGTTCTTCTCTCCGTCACAACGATATTTATTGTTTCATGTTTGGCTACATTAGCATATGCATCAGATCCCAGCCCTCTCCAAGATTTCTGTGTTGCCGTTAAAGATGCCGATGCAGCTGGTAATTAATTTCAACATCTAACTAATTATATTTGTACATTATTTACCTTATATTAGATAATCATCAAATAACAACTTTAATTTGACATCTTTTTTGCATGCATGTATAGTTTTTGTGAATGGGAAGGTTTGCAAGAACCCTAATATGGTTGTGGCCGAAGATTTCTTTTTTCCGGGCTTAAACAAGCCTGGAAATACTTCTAATCCTGTTGGATCAAGAGTCACTCCTGTTAACGTAAACCAAATTCCAGGTCTCAACACTTTGGGCATTTCTGCTGTTCGTATAGACTATGCACCAAACGGTTTGAACCCGCCCCACACTCACCCGCGTGCCACTGAAATTCTAGTTGTGATGGAAGGCACTCTTTATGTCGGCTTCGTCACGTCAAATCCAGCTGACCCCGCCTTGAAAAATAAGCTCTTCACAAAGTATTTATATCCTGGGGATGTTTTTGTCTTTCCAGAGGGTTTGATACACTTCCAATTTAACGTTGGAAAGACCAATGCTGTGGCATTTGCTGGTTTGAGCAGCCAAAATCCAGGTGTCATTACTGTTGCGAACGCAGTATTTGGTTCGGATCCACAAATTAATCCAGCTGTCCTAACTAAGGCATTTCAAGTTGAGAAGAACGTGATTGACTATCTTCAAGCACAGTTTTGGACGAACATCGACTAAACACGCAGAGCTGATATATAAGAATCTTTTGTTGCTAATAAATGATATTGTCTTAAATAAATTCATAGTACTCATGTTGGTATTCTTTGTACTTCTTTAATGAATAAATAATATGATTGATATTTAATTGATTTAAGTGTGTGATCCTTTCATCTTTATTCACTTGAATCCAGCTTAGTTAACACTTTATCCCTAATTGTCCATAGTTGATGAACCAATTTGAAGATAAGTAATTAAACTTAACACAAGAGAGCACGTGCACGGTTGAACAAATCAATATGTAATTGAATTCCTCATAAAATGAACAACCTTGCATAATTGCATTGTGTCTTTTTAAATAATTAGAATTTCCTCTCTCTTGAGTTCAATCAAAATTGGTAGACCAATTCAATTGTTTACTATATCTATAATTAAACGCATGCTTCATAAATAAATACAAATAAACTGATTAAAGCAATATATACTCTTGCGAGTGGGAATAACTACGCTATGGACTAAGAATTACAAAAAGTATGAGAACTCATCGATCCATTCTCATCTAGTGAAAACGTGTCACCCGTCTATCTATAATAGATTTCATAAGTCAAGCATGCCAATGCTTATAGCTTCTTGTGTATAAATACGTACCCCCATCTATGCATAGTTATAAGGGTGGTTTATTCGGTAAAACTGTAAATTGAAATATCGGTAGATAGAAAATTTGTACTGGGTATCGAACCGAACTATTCAGATCGGTACGATTTTTACAAATTACAATTCCGTGAGAACCGAACTCATCTGGTGTGACCTCGGCCTGATTTGAAATGAGATTATCTTCGTGTTGAATTGAATTCAGATATTCACAGATTCAAGTTCTAATCCACACTCACCGCTTCAATTGTTGTGAATTAGCAATCGATCAATAACAAAGAATAACAAAAAGCTTGAAAATGACAATTGAAAGCAAGAGAACATCAACATATTACAGTGGTTCGATCTCCACTTCGAATATAACAATCACCGAGTTACAACTTACAACACACGGATTACACAGGAGTGATCTTACAATGGATGTATCACTCTCAAACCCTGACTCTCTCTGCACTGCACTCAAAAAAACTATCTCAAGAGTTACAAAATCTCTGTGATTTTCTCTCAGTTTCTTAATGCTAGTGTATGTGTGTTACGTTGTGTGTGTGATTAAATGATCCAAGGAGCATCTTCTGAGCTTTATATACACGAGCATATATCATCTACTATGCATGTGAGGTAGTTAGTCAACTCAGAGAATCTTCCCAAAGCCATAAGGCCCCCAGATCAGTTAGTTAGGATGACATGTGCTGAGCTGCACAATTCTTCATGCAGTGTAAATCCTCCAATGCTCCATACAGTTAAACCTCCTCTCCCATGTTGTTTGACATGAATCTGAACCATCCATTTCGATAATAGTAGTCAATAGTTAAGTTGTTAGTTATATTCATCAAGCTATCAAGTTGCTAAACTGGTTTGTTTTTAGGGTTTCATTACAGCCACCCTCTCAACTATGTATTATCTTACGAAAATACCCCTCCAGAGGTAAATTTAGGGATGTTAAATCGGTGAAACCGAACCGAAATTTCGGTACGCCAACATTTCATATTGTTTACCGAACTGAATACACGATTTGGTTCGGTAAATAATCGAATTACATAAATTTTATGTAAAAAAATTTAAAAGGAGAGGGGTGGCTTTAATTTACTTAAACAAGAGGGTTTTTTCGTAATTTGGTCATACCTTAGAGGGTGGCCGTAATTTGTACTTTTAAATAAATAGATATGAAAAGAAGGCTTAATCCCACTTTCCGCCCTTCAAATATGGCATTTTGGCACTTCGCACCCTTGAAACAAGTTAATAGCATTTTTCACTCTCGAAACACAATACATCATTCACAATGCACCCTGAATTGAATATTTAAAACCTAATGAGAGTAATTTAATTTTTCATTGTTTTTTTTTATTTTCAGGGTGCAAATAACAAATTAAATTATTGTTTTCGTCCACCCACAACATAATTTCGAACGTATGAAATGCGAAAAAAAAATGACAAAGAATTACTGAAAAAACTATATTTTCTTACACAAAAAAAAAAAATCACTAAATTATTCGATTGATGTATTTTTATATTGTAATTAGTGAAAATATTTGGTAGACATCTTTGGAAGAAAATATAATTTTCAAATAATTTGATACCTAAATAGCTAAAGGATATTTTTTGTTCCTTTTTTGTTTTTGTAAAATATTTTTTGTGAAAAAATAATAATTTAATATGTTGATGAAATGTATTTTTATTTTTGCACTTTGTAATTTAGAAATAATTGATGAGTAAAAAAATTTAATTTGACATCTTAAAAACATACCACAAAAAATATTAAATTATCTTCATTAGCTTTAAAAATTCATTCGGGGTGCATTATGCATGATTTATTGTGTTTCAAGGGTGCAAAGTGCTACAAAAAAATTTCAAGGGTGCAAAGTGCCAAAACGCTATATTTTAAGGGCTCAAAGTGGAATTAAGCCGAAAAGAAAGAGAGAGAAACCGAATCCTTCTTAGGCAAGTTTTTTTCCTTTCCTATTAAATATTTGAACTTCTGCCACTACATACAACTCTCTCTCTCTCTCTCTCTCATCGTATAAAACCCCGTAGATCTGTGCAACTACAATTGCTCGCACGTTTGGAGAATCGGAGAATTGTGTAGCGAAGAAGAAAGGTCAAATGGAAAGGGGAGAAAGTTCCGGCTCCAATGCCGCCGCCGCCGATGATGATGTCTGGGCCAAACTAGGTAACTGAAAAAAAAATTATTTGAGAAAATAATCATTTCTACAGTATCTTGAATCAATGCAATTTTAACTTGCTGTTACATCTTCTCGATTGAGGTTTGTTCTAAATCTGTATGTGGATATTCAATTTTATTTTTTTGGTTCCCTCTTATTTTTCAATTTGGGTTCTTGCATTGTTTTCCTCTCTCTTGTTTCTTCAATTTGTAGAAGTGAGGGCGAATTTAATTGTGTGCCCAAAATATAGTATCTACAAATAGTGTTAACATTGATTATCTGAGCATCTAAAATTGTGGCGTGGATAGTGATTGTGATTTTAATATTTCCCATCCCCTAGTTGAGGCATGGGGGAATATGAAAAAACGACGAAATTTCCGATAACTGTAATTCGACCCCTTTTTATTGGGGATTTGGGGTGTTTGGGGGGGGGGGGGGGGGGGTGTGGGGTGTTAGTTAATAAGTTCTTGATCAACGATCATTTGGTGGTTTGGCTCGATTAGGAGACTTCATCTTTAGGGTGACACAACAGTTGAGAGATTTTCATCATTGCCTTTTTTTCTAATTTTGGAATATTGGTTGGTATTTTATCGGACAGTATCTCAAGATTATATCAACGTATTGTTCTTCACATATGCAAAATAATTGGGATCTCTATATATCGAAAATATTGGGTTTTAGCAAAGTATTTACTTTCATTTTTTTATGTAGTGCCGCTGGACTCAAGCTACTCAGATATTGAGTTGAGGTCAAACGAGGTGACGATTTGTTCAGAGACGAAGAGTTCTTTGAATGATAAACATGAATGGTGCAAGATAACTAGGGAGAAGGATCATATTTCTGCCGTAATGAAGAACAACAGGTTTGATGGTTCTTCATCCTATGTTTCAACAAAGCCTACTTTGCGTATGATAACTGTTTTTTTTTTTTTTCTTTGTCAGCGTTCAGGGATAAAAGTAATGGAACTGATTAGGGTAGTCTTATGAACCACCTAGTATAAAAGTGTTAATTGATATATGTTTGTTTACTCACCTATCTTCTTTTTTTAATCCTTTCGTAAGTCCGTTTATGCTAAAATTAGAAGATTTTGTTCTATGTACCAATGTGTAAAGTTCAATGTAGTTCTTGGCAGAATCTATGATATTTGGTTTACGTAATGTAGTTTCTGAATTCGTATCCCGAAAAATGATAATTGTATGAGTATATTTGATAAACTGATTGCTGTTAGTTAACTATACAATCTTTCATGTTCCAAATAAAAGATACCCAACTGATCGACCCTCGTGTTTTTTTCCAAACTAGTTGTAATTCGATCCTTGTTGATGGTGCGGTTGTCCTGAAAGACGACGAGATCATCATTAGTTGTGGAAGCGAAATAATTCCGGGTCCTGAGGCTGATGGTAAGAACCGATAATAAACCGATTTGTTTTAAGTTTTAGTTCTCAGCATGTTTAATCCTATACGTATGTAACACTCAACTCACAAGGGCTATGAGTTAGTGTCAAATCTTTAGTAAGACCCAAATCAGATAACTAAATCGGTCTTAAATCGAGGGTCATTTTGGAATATAAAACTATCAGTCGAGGCAAAAATGTCAAAATGGACTTCTAAGAATATACAGAGGAACCAAAGCAGCCAAAAGGCCATTCATCAACTTGAAAAACTAATATGTTACTTTAGCTATGAGGTGTGATTTAAGTTAAATACAGAACATTAAGTTTGAAATTGTATATAATTTCCTGTGTAATCAACCTTGTAACACATGGAAAATATCTTTGTTTTTCATGTCTTTCAGGGTTTATGAGGTATATGTTTAAAGTAATGCCTACGAAGCAAATTTGCAAGAAGCAAATCAAGGTAAACATCTTTTGTTATTTGAGTACTAGTATCTTTTTTTTTTTATTTTTTTTTTCTGTTATGCTAATTATAAAAATGTCAATATTTTGTTCCTGTACTAGATAACTCTAGATCCCGAACACGCGAAATGCTCCATTTGTTTAAATGTTTGGCATGACGTCGTCACCATTGCACCATGCCTTCACAATTTCTGGTATGTGACTCAAATCTCTTATTTTAACTACTATTTGTCATCTGATCTTCGTATAATATATGGCCAATTATTTTCTCGTTTACAGCAATGGATGCTTCTCAGAGTGGTTGAAGAGGTGTCAAGAGAAACGTTCTACTGTTTTGTGCCCTCAGTGTAGAGCAGTTGTACAGTTTGTTGGAAGAAATCATTTTTTGCATAATATTGAAGAGGTATGGTTTTCTTTCACGAGTGGTTACAGTTTTTAGTTCCACAATTACAAGTTCTTACGGTGATATTTTTTTCGTATATTTTTTTTTTGATCTTTTCGATAGTTAGGGAAGGAAGATAAAGTTCGTTTTAGTAACCTTCCCTTGATTGGCAGCTATTTCGATCTTTTCGATAGATGTATCATTTGCCTGACTAGCATTCCATCTCTACAAAGTGAATTTTCTAAAATAAAATTGCGCTCGACACTTGTGCTTCAGTTTTTAACAATTCAGCCTGCTTTCAACACTTTAATTTGTTGATAAATTGCTTCTTTGTTCTTGAAAGAACTGTTTGTCGTTCGGCAGGATATACAGAAATCTGATCCTTCTCTAAGGCGGTCGGATGAAGAAATTGAAACATTAGATCGCTGTTCGTCAATCAAATCGTGCCTTGTAAGTGTTTTCATGCGTTGCTCTTGCAAATCTTGTTTTATTTTACTAGTTGCATTTTCGATATAGTGTGGCATAGCATACAGATATAATATACAAGTCGCACTGGTTAATATCTTGATAGATACTAAAATCTCGTCTTTCTCTTGAGCGTTAATTTTGCAAGTTACTTAATCTGAAGTTTTTCTTATTTTTCAAGTAAACTGTCAATACTCCATTTGTTACAAAGATATAATATTAAATTGTGAACTAATGATGTCCTAAATTATAGGTCATTCCCGGCGGACGAAAAAGTCGGAAGAGAGCTCGTGCGCAAAATAATGATGAGAACGAAAGGGATTTTCCTTGCCCCCAATGTGGTAATAACACTTGTTTTTTCTTTGGGTAATGGCCTCAAAATTTCTTTCTAAATCGACCTAACAATTGACATTTATTGCTGTGATTTCTGAATTCCAAACTGTTCGAGTTATGAACAACTCATTCTTATTACTTATGTGGTGAATAAGAATCTTGATATCTCATGACAACCTTCCTCTAACTAAGTCTTCAATCTTCGTCTCGATTATTGGACACATTTTCGCTTCTTTTTTTTTTATTTTAAATAAGTTGCTTATATATGTTTATCAGGCACAGAGTATGGTGGTTTTCAGTGTAGTGGAAGCACAGTTCATCTTCAATGCGGAGCATGTGGTGGAATGATGCCCGACAGATCAAATCCCATCGTACCACAACACTGTAATAATATTTATGGAATATTATGGAATAAATATAAATATAAATATAATCTTTTCCGAAACGAGTAATTATATTATGAAATATTTCTCTCTTTTGTAGGTATAGGATGTGATCGAGCATTTTGTGGGGCCTACTGGAATTCTCTGCAATTTCCTGGCAGTGAAGCCTATCCTGTGTGTAGTCGTGAAACTCTAAAACCTGTAAGCACGTTTTAAAAAAAAAAAAAAGAAATCCGAATTAATGTGGTTCGGATATCCGTTTTGTTATTTATTCGCTTTTCTTTTTCATTGATGTGTGTGCGTATAATGTTGCAGATTGTCGAATATTCAGTCACTAGATTGCCACTTGCTGTACATGAAAAGAATAGACACGAACAAGACGTATGGAACTTAGACATATTTCTCTTTCCTCTACATTTATTTATTTATGATTATTTTTTTTTGGTTCCGTGTTTTGGTTTACTAAGTCCGTTCACTTCTCTGCAGATAACAGAAAAATGTATCAGTAAAATGGGAAGATCCGTGCAGGATGTGATTTCAGAATGGATAACAAAGTGGAGTAACCGAGAGTTCGGTAATTACTAAATTAAAATTATCATTACATTAGAATTTCTTATTGGAAAAGCGATTTTTTAGATTCTTATTCCCGTTTTTCCCTTTTTAGATAGGACAAGGATTCGGTTGAATCACTCTGATATGATTACTCCCGACACACACCTTTGCCGGTGAGTTCTTCAACCAGTTGTATTAATATAGTGTTTTTCGCTTGTTCTTCAACAATTTTTTTTTTCATTTATATAAAAGAAATAATTAGGATATTATTCGATGGATCTTTAAATTGAATGTTGAAGCATAGATTTTTACTTATATATTATATAGGAAAGTCGGGCTACATGTTTTGATCTCATATTTCCTATACAGTAAATCACATTTGATCGTAACGCACGGAAATTACTAACCTTACGCTTTTTTTTTTTTTTTTTTTTTTTTTTAACTTATCATATAACATTTGGGATATTCTTGAATTGCAGAGATTGCTACGACAAATTCGTGTCGTATCTCATGTACTGGTTTCGTGTCTCACTGCCAAAATCCGTAAGCTTCTTAATTATTTTTTTTCTTTCTTTCTTTCCATCATCATTTTAGAAAAAAAATGACATTAGTAAATTTGATTTTAGAGGTGAATTTTATGAATATATTTGTTTGGTGTAGCTAATGCCTAAAGAAGCAGTAGAGCGGGTAGACTGCTGGTATGGATTTTCGTGTAGGACACAGCACCATAACGAAGAACATGCTCGTAAACGGAACCACGTTTGTCGTCCAATCAGGGGTGCCGGTGTGCCTTAATAATAATAAAAAATAATTATATTTGCTTGAGCTCCCAAAAATGAAAACAAAAAAAGAATTATGTTTTGGTCTGAATATTAAATATCTTCTTGTATTTATTCTCTCTATCCGATTATTTACAAGCTCTGTTAATTCTCCATCTTCAAAAGGAAGTTAGTAGAATAGCCAAAAAAAAAAAAAGCAGTCAGCTAATTAAAATATGAAGCTATTCGGATTAAGAAAGATGATAGTTTTAAGTAACAAAATACAAATCAAATAATTAAATTATATCATTCATTTTTTTATTAACTTTTTTTCTTTTAATTTTCTCAAAATTTCATATTTTAGTATATGACGTCAACTATGAGCTAAATATAAGGAATCTTTAAAAGTAGGGGGCGAAGGGTATAAATTTTTTTATGTGGATTAATGTTGGGTGGGTACTCGTTTGAACAAGTAGAAACTCGAACTCAAAAACATCCTATTCTATTACGGAATATGATCTTATTGGAAAGGGAATAAGGATTATAGAATCTAAACAAAGGAAATAAGTACTTGTACATGCAAACTGAAATAGTAACTTGTTTTGTTTAGGATCTGAACCAAATAGAGAAGCTATTTAGTACTTTTTTTTTTTTTTTTTTTGATAATTATTTAGTACTTTCTATAACCACTCAGTTTCCTTGTCTTTGTTTCTCGTCTAGAATCCGCAGGTGGTGACACCAGTAGCCCAACAAAAGCACAGTTATCAAAAACCCTAGGTTAACCGAAATCACTCAAATTTTGGTTTCACTCTCACCCAAAACCCCACCACACAGATTTGTATTTTCTCGTGTTTCCCTCACTTAGAGTAGATCTCACGCGCTTATAAATAAACAAAAATCACAGAAGAACAAAGATTCAAAAACTTGTGTGTTTCCCACACTTCTCTCTCTCTCTCTCTCTCTCTCTCTCTCTCTCTCTCTCTCTCTCTCTCTCTCTCTCTCTCTCTCTCTCTCTCTCTCTGGACGTTTGATATATAAATGGATAAAGCAGATTGTCTCTCAAACAAAGAGCGGCTATTGTCACGGTCAAACGGTTCTGTCACCGAAGAATGCCAAGAGGCATTAATGCGGTAGTACAATTTGTATCAGAGAGAGACACGAAAGGAGACAAAATTTGGGTTTTGAGGAGTGCAAGGCTTAAATAACTCAAATGAATGGCTCGGATCAAGCGGTGTGAAGCAACGGTCCATATCATAGTATCTAGAGAATTTCTAAGTTTGACAGAACACTGAGTGGGCTTTGTGCTTGCTAGACCTTGCAGTTGAGCCGCCTCAGATAGAGACCGGGCTAAATGGACCGTCAAATCTTCACCTGGGACCAATGGATTATTCGGAAAACTTTTTAGAGACATGAATCATCATTGCTCGTTTTTTAATATGTTTGAAGTTTGAACACACACAATTCATTTCATACATATTTGAATTTTTGTAATCACAAAGAACCATACATTTCACACTGAAAGCAAATAACAGTGGCAGTCACAATGACTATCAGTTCTAATCACAGATGTTGCTAAGGGCCACAAAAAATGTTCAAAATTTTAAAATACGAACACAATTTCTCCACACGTATATCAGAAGGATTGAATTCTAATGGGATTTTTTGAAGATCAATTAATTATTTTTCCACAATATCTCTGATAAAGTGAAACTTCACATCGATGTGCCTAGTTCTATTGTGGAAGACATGATTTTTGCAAAGTTGAATTCTATATTAACTGTTAGATCAAACAACTATCTTTTTGTTTTGGAAACCAATTTCAGAAATTAAGCCTTTCGACCAAATTGCCTCTTTCAAGGCTTTAATAACGGCAATATAATCAGATTCAGTTGTAGACAAGGCAATAATGTTTTGCAATTGGATTTCCAGCTAATACAAAAACCACACGGAGTGAACACATAAGAGGTAGCGAATTTTCTGGTATCTCTATAATTAGCAAAGTTGGAGTAAACATAACCACATAGTTCAACATCTCAAGCACTTACCAAACATAATTCTAGTACTCATATAACTTTTTACATATTCGAGAAGTAATTTCAAGGCTTCCTAGTGAGGAATGCCAGAATTACACATATATCTACTTGGACAACTCACATCATAAGCAATATCTGGCATAGTGCTAACTATGAGATACATTATAGAACCAATAGCATTTTCATAAGGCACATAATTAATTTCAACCATTTCATGATCAGTCTCAGGAGACTGATCCTTGCTTAACATAAAATGAGATGCAAGAGGTACAGTCACAAATCTTGCCTTTTTCAAATAATACTTCTTCAGAATTTTTCAAGCATAAAATGATTGATTTAAGAACAGAGTACAATCAGCTATATCCTTAACAATGTTCATTCATAAAATCCTTCTAATATCACTAAGAAATTTCATGTCAAATTCATCACTTAGACACTTTTTAACATGCTCAATGATTTTCAAACATGGGCTAGCAATTTGCATATCATCTATATAGATCACAAGAAACACAGGAGATTGCACATTCATTTTAAAATACAGACATGGATTATAAGAAGTCTTACTGAACTTTAAAGTCATCATATAAACATCAAATCTCTTGCTCCATTGTCTAGGAGATTGTTTTAAAATACTACGATGAAGAGGTTTTACATTAGTTTTATGATATTCTTTGAATATTTTGATTATATGTAGGGAAAATTACAAATAAGCCCATTATGGGCGCTATTTATTCATAAAGAGGTTCAGACCAAAAACTCATTTACAAAAAAATACAGACAAAATTCAGAGGTTTGTAAAAGACTAAAATACCTCCTCACATTTTAATATGCTCAAATTTCATCCATTTAACCTAATTTAACCTTAATTTGACCCAAATATCACCAATTATTCAATTTTAACCTTAACTCAATTTTGACTGTCGCCACCGGTCAACTGTCGTTAACCATCAGTATCCGGAGTTGACTTTTTTTTTTTTTTTCCTTCTTTCTACTTTTTTTTTTTCTGTTGTCGCCGCCTTTGACTCGCGGTTAACGTCGGCCTCCGGTGGCGTTGACTTTCTTTGTTTTTTTTCCTGAACATATTTCGCCTCCGTAAAAAAACATTAAATTATTGTGGTTGACAGTAATATTAGCTATATTACTGTTTAACACAGTCATAGTGCTATATTACTATCTAGCGCAATAATTTTAACACAACAAAATCACTATGTTACATAATAAACTATTGTGTAATACATTAATATTATTATGTTGATCGATCAACAAAGGCAAATATAATAAAAAGTCAAAAAACTAATATTATTGTCATTACTGTAACTACAGTAATATTACTATCAACCACTAATATTATTGTGTTTAATTTACAGTAATTTTACTGTCAACAACAGTAATATTACAATAGTAAACAATAATATTATTACGTTGACCGATCAACAAATCAAACAAAATAAAAAAGCAAAAAAAAGATAGTATTGATGTGATTAATAGTCAATGACAATTATATTACAACTAAATTACTCTCAGCGACACTAATATTACAATAGTATATTACGTTGACCGATCAACAAATGAAACAAAATAAAAGTCCAAAGAAATAAATAGTTTACATAAAGTTTGCCTTTATTTATAATGCATATTAAAGGGATTAATTTATTGGCGAAAGAGATATTTTATAAATTAATAATGTTGGTACCGGGATATTTTATTAATGGGATTATTTGATATAACCCCCCCATATGCTATTTGCACTTAGTATAGGCCCAAAAAATATTCCCCTCTTTGAGATAAATCCAAATCATATTTTAATTGATTTTTTATTTATGATTTTTCTATATTACCCCTATTTATATATGGACAATATATTTTCTCCTTTAATAAAATATCGATTTATACAATGAATGAATCGTTCCGTTTTTTTTGTGCACGTTCTCACGTCTAAAATAATATCTCTCTCATATCTCGTCCCTTCTTTTATGGGTACACCGTTTCACAGAGATTAATAAATTTCGTAAAACAATCTCAAAAGATATCACTATTTTACACAGTATTGTTGGTATTCTTCTTCTGCCCTACTCGACTAAACACAGAACGATTTTCCAAAAAAAAATTCGTCTGAACGGGGTGAGCATTGCGTAGCCGACTAAACAGGGAGTTGTTCTCTATACCAGGTATTTCTTCTGTTAATGGTATACAATATGAGTTAAAAAACCATTATATGTAATCCGTGTTTGAATTTTTATATTGTGCGAATTTGTCTTTAGGTATTTTGTGGTATTAAATATTCCAATGTATATTGGCATGTAATGTTGACGCTTAATAATTCATGTGTTATGGATTTACATAAGCACAATATGATTTGGTAATTTTGTTTTGTGAGATTGTGTTACTGGTATAATTAACACATATACGTGAATGTAAATCCTTATGTGTTAATTGTTTATGTTTGTAGATGGAGTCGGCCGCTACGATTTTGTTTAGATTTAGAGGAACGGTTGCAATCAAGAGATGGTCGGCCGGTATTAATTATGTAATGTTGATAAAGTTTATATGGTCAAAATGGGCTATGATCAATGGGCGCAACCTCACGCTTACGTATAAGATGGATGTGTTTGACGAATGTATTCTTCAGGACGATGAAGATGTAACATCCATGTTTCTCCTTATGAAAGACTTAAACGTAAGACATGTTGAAGTAACCGTGAAGGAAGCCGAAGGTGGTTCTGCCCCGGTGAATAATTGCAATGCATTACAGGTGGCGCAGCCGTTGGTTTCATTGTTTCAATATGATAGGAATGTGGTTGTTGCTGAGCAACAAAACACGCATGTTATTCAGCCACTCGGTGGTAAGAGATTGCTCAGTGCTGAATGGGCGAACTTGATAAAAGATGCAGGCCAAGCGTTTGTAGGTGGAGCCGATGAATTTCGGAAGTCGCTTGTCAAGTTTTCCATTGAGATTGGCTTCGAATATGTTTACGTGAAGAATGAGTCTTCGAGGGTTACGGCTGAGTGTCGTTTCAAGCATGATAAGCAATGTGCCTGGAGGATCCATGCGTCGATCGATAAAGCTAATAATAACTTCTATATTCGTAAGTATGACAAACACCACTCATGTGGTATGTTCTTTGGAACGGCAAGCAAGAAGCGTTTAACTTCAAATATAATCATTGAGCTAATTGATGGGTACATTCGGTCAATGCCGGCAATTACCCCTCGTGATATACAAGCTCAGATAAAAGAAAACTACGGAATTGATATAAGTTATTATGTCTCATGGAGGGCCACAGATGGTGGGAGGAACAAAATATTTGGTGATCACAGTACTTCGTTTTCGTATCTTCCAGAATATTTTCGGGAAGCGGAGCGGACAAATCCAGGAAGTATATTCCATTTGGAGGTTGATGATGTGAAGAATATTTTTCGCAGGTGTTTTTTTGCATTTGGTGCTTGTTTGGTAGGCTTCAAGATTTGCCGACCAGTAGTGATGATTGACGGCACATTTTTGAAGGGGAAGCATGGCGGAATCTTATTAAGCGCTGTGGGAAAGGACGGCGACGAAGGTTTGTATTCCAACTTTTTCTAACTAGTGGTTTCTAATTGTATTAGTAGTTTTCATAAATTTGATTTCGAAATTTGTGTTAACTATGTCAGGTATATATCCAATTGCATTTGCTATTGTTAGTGAAGAAACAAATGACAATTGGGAATGGTTTTTGACACATTTTAAGGCTGCTATCGGGACTGATCGACACATGTGCTTTGTTTCGGATCGAAACCGTGGCATTATTCAAGGAGTCAAGAATGTGTTCCCTGATAGCGTGCACGCATACTGCTATAAACATTTGACTCTCAATCTCAGAGACAAGTTCAAGGGTGCTAATAAAAATCATCGTGATGCTGTCCTTCACTATTTTCAGCAGTGTGCTTATGCTAATACTAAACCACAATTTAATCGTGCTGTTGAGAAGCTTAGAGCAGTTGGAGGTCCAAAGGCATGTAAGTTTTTATCGGACCTACCGTATGAAAAATGGTCTAATGCGTTTTTTGTTGGGCAGCGGTACGGTCAAATGACGTCAAATGGCTGCGAATCGTGGAATTCACAGATTAAAATGAGAAGATTACTTCCAATTACTACAATGATTGATGCAATTCGGATCTTGTTGATGGAGCAGATTGCGGGTAGACTCGACGAGGCGGCTGCTTGGGAATCAGTATTGTGCGACCACGTTGACACACAAATCAGGGATGCGGTAGATAAAGGCCGATCTTGGCTTGTGAGAAAGTCTTCCGAATTTGTGTGGGAGATTTTTTCTACCCCAAATGCTGTAGTTGATGTACGGGCGGGGACGTGTTCTTGCATGTCTTGGCAGATTAACGGGATACCGTGTGAGCATGCGGCTGTTGTCATATTTTTGAAGATGGGTGAAGCATATCAATATATTGACCATTGTTATCATACGTCGACATTTAGACAGTGTTATTCGAATTCAGTTTTACCGTTCGTGCAGCCTACACTTGATCCTGGATTTGCAATTATAGGTCCCCCTGAGCAACACAAGCGTCGTGGGAGGCCGAAAAGAAAGAGGATTCCATCAAGGGGTGAGATAATGCCTCGGAAAATTAGATGTGGCAGGTGTAAGGCAATTGGAAGCCATAACAAAAAGTCATGCAACTGGGGTGCAGATTAATAATTATCTTTTATACAAACAAGTTTTTTTTTTTTTTTTTTTATTTGCTATTAAGAACTTTAATTACAAGTCTTGCTTCGTATTAGTTGTGTTGATACTGTGTTGAACAATTATTCTTAATGAACTTTGTTTTTGGATTTAATATGATTTCGGAAGTGTTCCTTATGATAACCGAGTATGTGCATATAGTTGATTACGTATAGTGGTTTTGTACTCATAACTATCAATGCAAATGAATTCAACTTACAGTGGTTTTTGTACTGATACTTATCAATGTCAATGAATTCAAATAGTGGTTTTGGAATAAATAGCAATTAATTGATTACATATAGTGGTTTTGGTACTGATATATATCTATGTAACTGAATTCAAATAGTGATTTCGGTACTACAAGTATAGTTGTTTTCGAATAAATAGTGGTTTTGGTACTGATATATATCTATGTCACTGAATTCAAATAGTGATTTCGCTACTACAAGTATAGTTGTTTTCGAATAAATAGTGGTTTAATTAACAGACTAGTGATTTTGGTACTGATAATTATCAGTGTAAATGAATTACAAATAGCAATTAGTTGATTAAGTATAATGGATCACGTAAACGTTATACACATTATATACATTTTCATAACCGTTTTGCCCCAGAAGTTTTGTTCGATACATAAGTACTTTGGTATAGTGGATTATGCATATCAACCAGAAATATTTATCAACACATACGAAAACAAAAACCTAAATTTTGCAATATATAATTAACTTCAATAATTCATATTACATTGCAAATATCTTTAATTGGCTTAGCAGCATAGGATACCCAAAAAACTTTGCAACACTAAATGTCAAAACATAACAAAGTACTTCAATAAAAACTTATCAAAAAACAATGCAAGCAGAAACACAAAAATCCAAAACAAATTCTATTAATGGTCATAAGCTCATATCTCACACCCGACGTTTACTGTAGTCCTTATCACGACCCCATTTAAGAAATTTTTCTACGATTTCTTTGCGCATATTGGGAATGTTTTTAACACCTAGTGTGTATGAAATTGGTTGCTGAAGGAAACACTGCTTCACAATGTAGCAGACAACGACCCCACAGTCCACACTGCCACTTTTTTGTTGTGGTGCATCTCTAATTAGATTGACCTCTTCATCATATGGAAGATCAAAATGGTGATGCCTTCCGGTTTTGTCAATTGCATGTTTCTGTTGCAAATTGAAGTTTTTAATTAAAATCCAAGGTCAAATGTATGCTCATTTGTGTTGAATTTAACGATGAAAATCGGAGTGTCTAGTGTTATGTGCTTACCAGCTCAATTGCATCACCAATATATTGGTCTGCTATGTTTTCACGCGCTATCATTGGATTGTAGAAATTGTAGTCACCCTCTGACTTATTCAAGATAAGGACAGTCCAGTGGTCATTTCCTCGTTCATTTGGCTTCTGCCTGTGCAGGATGGGGAATATGAAAAAATCATGATCGCACATGCCAGTAGGTGGATCAAACATACCATCGGACCTTCTACGAATCGTATCCTGCAGGGTACACGTACTGGTTATAACAACCTATTATATGCGCACCAATGAAAATTTAATGTGCATAACAGTGTAATTACCAGGAACCAAGACGGGAACACGAGTATTTTTGCATTTTTAGTCGAGGATGTGCTTTGACTCAACTTGCCAGCGTTATGTTCAAGGGATAGGATTTTGCAATAGGAGTCAACCACCTATAGATAACAAAATTATAGGCCCATACATTTGTACTATTAATATTGAAATTGATGTTGTACTTACTCCATTAGAGAGAGATTGATTTTGTAGGCAGGGAAAAAGATCTGCGACCAATACTCGCACAACCCTATCTTCATCTTGCCAAAGTATTTTGCTGTAACATTCAATATTGCAAAAACTGACAATGTAATTTATTGAAATACACTAGATAGAAAGTATAGTTAACATTAGAAAGTTAATATTACAAATACAGTGAAAATTAATGCAATAAATTTAATTGAAAATCACTAAACAAAAAAGACATGATTTTCCACATTAATATCGTTTTATGCTATCAGATTAAATGAAAGCAATATAAATTAACATATAAGAATATGTACCTTTGCTTGTCTTCAGAAGATGCAATTACATTGATTAAACCCTTATTTTCATCGCTCAAATTTAGGTATGCACTATACTTTTTGTAACATTTCCCAACATTCACCAAACTGTTCTTCGATATCGGTGTTACGTTCTGCCTTTTCGACCTAGTCCTCTTGGCTACGACCGACTTGGGATCCCTGTTAATATGCTGGATGATAGCATTACTGAAATCGAAGTCATCATCATCTTCTTCAATGACTGTTACGGGTTTCTTTTGATTTAGGGTTTCGGTCAGATTACGTATTCTCTCCTCCTGTTTCTCCAGTCGTTTTGATTTTGCAATATCCTTTGCGGCTGAGATCTTTAATTTTGTTTCAAGATCTATGATGTGGAGGTCGGTTTTGGTGTACATTGTGCACGTTACATCCGAAGCAGCTTGTGTCTGTGTTAACAAATCCCAATTTGGCATGTCATCATCAACTAGATTGCTTGGTTTGCTGCGATGATCGATTTTTGCAGCATGCCCATCAATAAGAGATTGGAGGGCCTGGTTTGCCTCATTAAGTGATTTATTATGAGCTTCAACAGTTGTGATTCTTCCCTTCAACTCTACTATATCAGTGAGGTATGCAGCAGTTGTATTATGCAGACTCTCGTACTCATCCTTCAATTTATCAAGCTCAGCTCGAATCTCGTCGTTGTTTTTGTTTGCGCTGACAAGTTTCGTACTAACATCGTGAAGCTCTTTAGTAAGCCTGCTTGATGTGGACCTCTCCAACTCAAGTTCTTTACCAAATCGTGCCGATGCGGACCTTTCGATCTCAAGTTCTTTTGTCAAGCGTGTGGATGAGGACCTCTCGATCTGGCTGTTGGTTGGTATATCAGATAGACGACTAAACTGCGCTTCAATGTGTGTATTCAAGCTCTCCAGATGTGCCACCTTATTTTTCAACTTTGTAGACTCGACTTCGGCGGACGCAAGTTCTTGTTGCAAATTTTGTATTGCCTTTTCTTGCGTTGAAATTGTATCTATCAGTTCTGGATACTTGACAATCCAAGCAGCTAGGGGGACATCATCTATGTCTATTTGACCTTCAGTATCAGCCGCAAAACATGATTCGAAGTTTGGAATTGTGTTGTTGTTGTCATCGGACTCTTCAATGTTGTCGTCAACATCAAGCCCATCACCACCTGAAATGCTGTCATTGTTTCTATCTTCATCGGCGTCTTGATGAATGTCTGTGTCACTGCCATATGTATCTTCCTGCTTTCCGCAAAGTATTGCGTGCTCAATAGCTGTTTTAGAAATTGGCTTTGTATTGACATCATCTGCTTTTATGCCCTTTATAGCGAATTCGTCTATTATGTTTCTGAGACTTGACAATCGCCACTTTAGGAACCTCGGAAATGCGTCTTCTTTAACTGGATTGACTAGCTTTGTCCGTTCGCAGATCCAATACTACATGTCAACACAAAAAAAACATAGTTGTTCATAAGTTTAAATCGCCGTGTAAAATGCAAAACATCAGTAATATATAGTGTTTTTAAAATAATGGTTTTAGTTGTAATGGCATATAGTAGATACGTCAATTTATAACACAGATGCACTATACAACCAAGATTCAGTTCACTGTACTGATATATACTACCGGACTTAACATTTTTCACATAGGTGTTTTTAAACAAGAGTTTAGTAGTAGTTCACTTCATATAAGTATACACTGTTTGGAATAAGAGATTTATAAATAGGTGTTTTTAACTAATAACTTATAAAAACCGAATTACCCAAAGGGTTTGCATTACAACACATATGCATTATATAAACAAATTTCAGTTCAATGTAGTGGTATTAATTAATGTGTATAACTGTATCAATAGAGACTTTTAAATAAGAGCTTCACATAATAGTTAATCCCACACGATCACACATTGTTTGTAATAACCATTGTTAAATAGGGGTTTTAAAAATAAGGTTTTTTTTTCAAAGAGTATCAATCAATTGCATTTAGTATAAGGATATTCTAACAAAGGGACTCTCATTATGCTTGCATATGAAACCTCAATCAATTACAAACACAGATGCATTTTTTACCGACAATCTTCACTTCAATGTAGTGGTATACAGTAATGGATATATCAGTGTTAAATAGGGGTTTTAAAATAACAGTTGTTTTAAAGTAAATTCATTTCAAAAAATTAATTTCCTAAACAGTGATTTGTAAAAATGCAATAAAACATTTCTAAACAGCGGTTTTTAAGTACGGGTTTTCCAATATGAACTTACAAAATACGTGCTTTCAAGTAACAAAATAAACAACATACCAATCCATTACAAACACAACTGCAATTTACCAACAATCTTTCACTCCAATATAGTGGTATACAATAATAAATTCAAAAAATTAATATATTCATGCTAATTTGCAATGTAAATTACTTACCATAAACAGGGGGGTACAGCCTCGTACTTTTGCAGGTGGGTGTCTGTTAACAAAGTGCATGAAGTAGTCCACTATGCCCTTCCCCCAGTTGTATTTGTTCAACAAATCCAAGTTGTTGCATATTCTGAACATCCACCAATTAACTCTTCCTCCATCAGTCACGAAGAACACAGTACACAGAAGGTGGATGATAACTATCCGTACGGTATCTTCTACATCTTCTTGTTTGTCACTGTGAATATATTTCAGCAGCTGTTCAGTAAGATGGCATGTACGCAACTTCTTGTATTGACGGAATTTCCGCATTGCTAGTGGGGAATCGTATATCTGTGACCTCTTTCTGTTTACTGGATCTTCACCGGATGTTATTCCAAATATCAAATCGCATTCACGAAGATTAATAATGAGTTTTTTACCACCCAAAATGAACGCTTTGCAGTTTTTGTCATATGTAAACAACATAGTGACTGTCCCAGTCTGCGTCCCTCTAACCGACCCACGTGTAATTAAACCTCGAACAAACGGCATTACAAAATGATAAAAGGGGGTCTTCTTGAGGCATTCAACGTGTACTTTTCTGAGCTGCAATTTACGAAAGAAACTCACGGTTTTTGACAGACCACCACAAAATTGTCGTGTCCATGTCTCTTCTTCACGTGCATTGATAGCAAGTTGCTTCAGCTCACCTGTGTAAATTAAATGAAACATGGAACACAGTGTTTTCAGTAACATGAGTAACCAAAAGAACTACTACATTAGAAATACAATATCAAATGAATCACCAAAAACTACTGCACAATTTATTCGTGATTTAACAGTACTCTAACGCATAACATATTGACATTTTTTAGCACGTCTTTTGCATAATGGTGCCATGCGTACATTACGGCAAACAGTTATTTGTTCAAAAATCAATATATGATGTTTGATTCACATAATGCAATATTTGAACAAAAACTATCATTGCATTATAAAAAACACTTATTTATACCAAATACTATACAAGATGTTTGGCTCACTTAATCCATTATTTTCAAATACATATATATTACTAAAGTCCCCTGCTTTGTTTATTACCATTACAAATGCACGAAGTCCCCTGATTTGTTTAATAAATTCCCCTATTTTCAAATTCATAATTTCATAAGGTCAACACCTACTCTTACTTGATTTTTTTACAAAGTCACTATGTTCACTGCCTCATTATTTTAAAAGACAACAAATTGAAACCAATACATTATCAAAATCATAATCTAATATTTTTAAGTAACAAATCATTAAACAGATCGTTCATTGGCATATTACTTGATACATTCCAATTTAATTGATTTTACTACATATGATTTAGCACAGACAAAACACCTAAATAAATTTAAACCCATCTAACGCCTAATTTGCAATGTAGTAATGTCAACCCAGATGTGCTAAAAAAATGTTGCAATATAACAATCCACTAGTTATGCAACACTATTAATGATTACAAAGAATACTATAAGATAACCATCGATCATAAAATTAACGAAAAGTAGTATCCCAAAAAAATTAATACGTACCAGCGTCCAAACTCATAATATCATTGTGTGCTATTGATTTTCTTTTCCCTGCCCTCGTATATTATCCAAAAGAAGTACATGCAGATCAAAGATTAAAACAAAATTAGCAGATTATATGACACAGGGAATCTAAAACTTATTTATAAATGAAAAACCTACGTTTCGATGTTGTCTTTTGCACCATTTTGTCTGTTTGATCGATATACTGCTGCATTACAAAAAAAAAAAAAAAACAAACCAGCAATATTCTGTTTAAATCAACAAAAAAATAATTAAAATAGTTGTTTTCAAAAATCAAAATACGAACCCATTCAGTATTTCGGTCCAAATGGCACAAAATTTCAGAGACACAAGAACATGGATAATAAACTTACCTTTTCAAGGGAGTTTAATTCGACGGACGGTTGTAGAAAACTCTTCAATGATCTGATAAAGGGGTTTATCTCAAACCCACTATTTTGTCTTGCCCACTTAAGATTTTTTGATTCTCGGGGCAGCCATGGAAGGCGATGTGTAAATCGGAGAAGGTTTTTTCCTGATGAATATTTAGTTTCTATATACCGTGATTCGAGGGGAGTTATATTTGGAGAGAGATTAGTAGTGGAATCCAAATTAGCGGGATTTGATTTATGTAAAACAAAATTAATTATATATTTTATGAATATAATAAGGGTAATTGGGGTATTATGATCAATGAGGGGGTTATCCCTAATTGTAAATTAAAAATTGGATTTAAGCCTCTAAGATTATTGCATAAGGGGGTTATCTCATATAACCCCTTTATTAATTTAGCAATAATTTATTATATCGATAAATTAATAATTTATTAATTTAAAGAGGATTTATGTATGACCTTTAAATTTCCAAGTTCAATGTACTTACAAGGCACATTCTATGAATGTACATTCACAAATTAATTGAATTTGTCAAGTTCATTGTTTTTTAATAAGTAAAAAGTTAGTTCATGGTACGAAAAAATTGGTTCATGGTACCAACGCAGTACAACTTTTCACAATTTTTTGTTGCAATACGAGAAGACAATGCCCCAACTTTTAAGTGCAATGAGGAGATTTAAAAATGAACTCAATATCGATTTGAAATTCAACAAAAACAAGTGACTATAGATTTATTTTTACTAGACAATCTTAAAATTTTGGAATCTTTTAGTAATTATTAATTTATAGTTTCGTTGGGACCAATATATATACACTGGGATTTCAAAGGTATTATCTTATTATTTTATCGTTTGGGTTCCAATTTTGTACTTGTTCCAAGTTGGGACTAGACAAATTATTAATTTTATCGAGATTATTAATTTATCGAGTATCAATTTATAGAGGTTTTACTATAGCACTTAGACTTAAAATAATAAAGATAGTTGGTCAGGAACCTTCTCACATAAAATCTTTTATATGTATTCTAACATATTATATTTTTTTTTATTAACACGGAAAAATAACTGGTTTAGTAGGTAAATTCACGAATATCATGTGTATCGGTAAGAACATACGCGGGAATGTTTACATATCCCTCAAGGCTACAACGGAAAACCCACCATCTCCTCGTATAGTAGAAGCTACAAGAATCAATCGATCTGACAGACATAATAATCAAGGTCGAGAAAGAGAACCCCGTTCTAAAGAATTAACCACGTGCACGGTTGGGCTATTTCATTTTGAGTACTGATGGCCTGTGGAAAGATCTATCGTGATGCGGAATTTGATATAGTGTGATACGAAACCATTCAGACGCATGTCGGAACTCATATTCAGACTGGCCAGGTTTACAACGTCCGTTTACTTTCTATGGGAAATGTAGGAGGCTATGTTGAGTTTGAAGGAGGCCAACGGGGCCTCTTCATTGTTATGAATGTGTCAATGAGGTATTTTACTGTTTTTATTATATTTTTTTAATGTTTTGATTATATGTTTTAAGTATTATATTTTTGTATCGACAGTAAACAATGCAAGGTTTAGTCGGTTATTTTATGAATGTCATGTGTGTTGGTAAGGATATCATCGGGAACATCTATGTGTCGCTCAGGGCAGCAATGTCAAATCATCCACCTCGTCGAATGATGAAGGCTAAAAAAATCATTCAATCTAACAGACACAGTACTTAGATTCGAGTAAGAAAGCCCCATTCAGAAGAACTAATCAAATGGATGCCTCCACCGTTCAATTATTTAAGGCTCGGTACAGACGCCTTGTGGAAAGCCCTTTCGAAGTCCTGAATCGGAGCGGGTTTGATACTGAACCATGTAGGAGATTATCATTGGGCTTTACAAACGATTTCACAATGTCCCCAACGCAACAGTGATGGAGACACTGGCCATGCAGACTGGATTGGAGCTTGCATGGATTGGAGCTTGCAGAGTTTGTTGGATTGACAATCAAGTGTTTCATAAGATCATGCATAATGAAATAACAATTTCATTAAAATAACAGATAAATATATGTTATCCTCAGTTATAAAATTGGTTCAAATAAATAATAGAAAATCCTATCCCTTCTACTTCATCCACAGTTCTGCAGAAACTATCAGAATCTCATTCTCACACTCAAACAAATTAGGAACCATAATTTCTGAGCAAAAGTTAATAATATAATAATATAATTTTATGTTGTATTGTTGAGATGCATGTATGGTTATTTGTTCGTATTTTATGCTTTGTAGTAATGTAGTTTATTGTTGTATGAATTTTGGTATTTGAAACTGGGGGAAATTAGTAAGTACTCTGCAATTTTGTTCTTAGTACTTTGTGCTCTGTCATGTTTTATTAGTGCAGATTGAGAGAATGTTTAGTTAATTGCATTCTTTTAGTAATTTTAGGTTGTATGGTTGAGATGCATGTATGGTTATTTGTTCGTGTTTTATGCTTTGTAGTAATCTAGTTTGTTGTTGTATGAATTTTAGTATTTGGAATTGCGGGAAATTAGTACTGTGAAATTTTGTTCTTAGTACTTTGTGTTCTGTCATGTTATGCAAGTAAAATTAGTGCAGATTGAGAGAATATTTAGTTAATTGTATTTTGTATTATAAGTTTCGGTTGTATGGTTATTTGTTCGTATTTCATACTTTGTAGTGATATAGTTTATTGTTGTATGAACTTTGGTATTTGAAACTGGGGCAAATTAGTACTGTGCAATTTTGTTCTTAGTACTTTGTGATCTGTCATGTTTTGCAGAAATGGCCTCAAATGAGAAAAGTGCGCAATTTTCCCGTTGTTCGCCCTCGAGCTTCAGGGATACGATTGATAAAGTAAAATTAAAGATGGGGACTGCACAATTGGAGGCTATCAAAAGCACTCCATTTGGAATTTTCCTGAATATGCCAAACCTTAGTCATAGTTTGACTATGTGAGAGATGTTCGTTACTGGTATACGTGCACACGATACTTCACAGCTCTCAACAATATTTTTTATGTATTTATTTCTCTTTGCTTCTTTAAGCATGATCTTATAAAGTATTTCATTATCCGTTTCTACTTGGAGATTCTTCAATCCAACGAACTCTGCGAGTTCCAGTCTGCATGGCCAGTGTCTCCATCACTGTTGCGTTGCGGACTTCGTAAAACCTTTTGTAAAACCCGATGACAAATTCGCCAACGTGGTCCCGTATCAAACCCGCTCCAATTCCGAATTTCGCAAGCGCTTTCCACAAGGGGTCCGTATTGAGACTTAAACAATTGAGCGGTGGAATCTCATGTGCAACGCGGAAAGTACCTGTAAGGGACACCGCTCATATCTCTAAAGAACGAAACACTGTTGCACACACATTTATACTTTGGAAGAAGATATGTGGACAGAGCTTCGAGAAATAATAGATAAGGAAAGAGAAGGTCTGTGAAATTTCAAAGAATCAATTTTATCATCGTGGCTATATTTTTGTCATCGAATTAGGGAATGACTCATGAGACCTAGTAAGGTGCAGGTAATTAAAAGGTGTCTTTTATTTACATTATCGAGAATAATTCAATCTTCTAAAGTAAATTTATTATATTCTTCGTGAACCAAATGTGATCTATTAGAGTTGTTTGTAGCCTCATTATCAGTTTCATTGATATTTTTCACCTTCTTCATTCATATAAATCATACAACAATAAAATTAGAAACCATGAATTGCACAACACTTAACTAACATGTGTCTTTTGTTTGCATTGTCGAGAATAATTCAATCTTCAAAAGTAAATTTATTATATTCTCCGTGAACCAAATGTGATCTATTAAAGTTGCTTGTAGTCTCATCATCATTTTCATATGACAGTCTGTTGCACCTTCTTCATTCATATAAATCATCCAACAATAAAATTATAAATCATGAATTGCACAACAATTAACTAAGAGGTATCTTTTGTTTGTATTGTCGAGAATAATTCAATCTGCAAAAGTAAATTTATTATATTCTTTGTGAACCAAATGTGATCTATTAAAGTTGCTTCATCGTCATTATCATTGATATTTTTCAAATGACAATATTTTTCACCTTCTTCATTCATATAAATCATGCAACAATAAAATTAAAATTCATGAATTGCACAACAATTAATTAAGAGGTGTCTTTTGTTTACATTGTCGAGAATAATGCAATGTTCCAAAGTAAATTTATTATATTCTTCGTGAACAAAATGTAATATATTAAACTTGTTTGTAGCCTTATTATCATTTTCAGTGATATTTTACGTATGACAATCTATTTCACCTTCTTCATTCATATAAATCATCCAACAATAAAATTGAAAACCATGAACTGCACAATAATAAAATAATTTACCCGAATGATGCTAGCCGCTGGCAATATTCTTTTAAAATTAAATAATTGTCTGGAGCCATGTGCATCGGCATGTTTCGTATCTTGAAAATCTTTTTATTAGTAAAAAAAGTTTATCTTCTAAATAGTTAGTAAGGTGAGATAAAGATTACGTTTGGTGGTGATAGTGATTGTTCCGTAATGACTTTATGTTGTAACACGATTATATGTACCTTCTACTTCATTCTTCTTACTTGACAACTTTAGTATATATCTTGCAACTCTCTTGAGTTGATTTCTTCTTATCACCACTCTTATGCTACTTTATATATGAAATCATGTTATAAGGGTTTTTTAATGCTACCCTTTGAGCTATATCATAATACAAAAAAAAAAAATTTTTGCTCCAACACATTTTTTCGTTTGCTAATGTACATAGCATAATTTTTACCTTTCAATCGTCGTCCTCATCGTATATTTTTGTTCCCAGGATTCTTTGTTTTTTGGGGGAAATTTAGTTCATTCGTGATTGTGGTTCCTCATATTATTTCCCGGCATGATGTATGTGTTTTGAAAAATTAGTTTGTTTCTGTTTGCATCTTCGAACAACTATTTTTCTTTTGGAAACGTATATTTTAGCATTTTCCCGACTACGAATTTACTAGCAGCTTTTTCTTCCAAATATCGTTACCTCATCATATTTTTTTTTGAGATTCTATAAGTTTTTTGTTGTTTTTTTCTTTCCCATAAAGTTAGTTCATTAGTGCTCATCACTATTTTTCGAAATTCTGTATATTTTTTGAAAATAGTTGTATACAACTTCAAATTCGTATATGTCGTTTCCTGTAGTGAACTTTTATCATTTATAGGAAGGCAACTTGCGATCATCTATTCCGAACAGTCAAGACTTCAGCAACGGAAAAGGTGATGTCCTCGGCGAAGAAAACATGCTCAAGAACTTATCTACGTCCATGTTTTCTTATTTGTAATTCTTTTTTAGAGAATATTGTTGATTTTTAGCACTCCGATTTGAACCATTTTTCTTTTGGTGCAGAAAAGGAGAGGGAGGCTAGAGGATCTGAGAAGATGAAGAAGGCGGACCAGGAGAATGTTGAGAAGAAGAAATTTACCTTATATATATATATATATATATATATATATATATATATTTTTTTTTTTTGTTTTTTAGCTGTTGTGCTTGGCCTGATTTTATTTATGCTTTGATACCTGTTTGTTAAATCGTAAATGGAATTGAATCGTAAATCGTAAGATTTGTAATTCTTTCAAAAATAATATAGATAATAATTATATATAAGTATTTTAAAGAAATTATATAGTGTTATAACAAATTTATATGTCTTTTAAAATTTATAAAGTGAAACTAGAGAAGTTGTATCTTAAAGAATATAAAGAATTGATTGTATTATGTAGAAAATAGAAAAAATGACCTAATACAAGCTCACTTATGTTATTTAAATCGGTGGCGTGTCAGAAATTCGAGTAAAGGTACAAATGTCTCTTGGGAACTAATTAAAATAAAATAATAATTATTTAGAAAAAATAGAATTCAACTCATTCTAATTGATTTTGTGCAACAATAGATGAGGAATAGAAGCAAAAGTAATACTATATTGTGATTTTCTTTTTATATATACTTGATTTATTAATAGTATTTCGGGGATAAAGTGTTGACAATAACGTAATAATCATATTAACTATTTCTAGTTAAAGTCTAATGACTTTTTAATTGAAATTTATTATAAATAATATAATAAATTAAAATTTTCTTGAATCGTAAAAATTGTAAATCGTAAGAATCGAATCGTAAATCGTAAGATTTGATTGATTTTTTAACATTTAAGATTTGAATCGATTCAGGTATGAATCAAATCGAATCGTAAGATTTGAATCCCAAATCATAAGATTTTAATAACCATGCCTGTGAAGATGGGGAAAAAAAAAAAGACAAATTTAATTTTTAATGTTTCCAAATTCGACAAATACACCAAAATTATGAAAATAGTTGTAAATTGGTTTGGGAATTTTAGGTGTCCAAATGAAGTGCACTCCCCTTAGACTCAAGAGAATTCATGCATATTTCAATTGTTATTGGTGTCTTAATATATAAAATCATTAGAAATTATTGTTTGAGCTCTACTAAGCAATTTCCGGTTCTTATTTGTTCGTCATTCTTGAACCATGATACTGAAAATGTCATTGCACATGTTTGAGGAACTTTCGGCCTTACCTTTTTTCGTTCCTTAATTTGGTTTTGTATTGAAATTGTTTCCAAATAATATTCATATCTATTGATGATTTATCTCACATACATGGCCGACTAATCAAAAGTTAGTTCGAGTTGAGGCCGATATTTTAGATTCATGATTTCAAATTGAACAGAAATTATCCCGATTGAAATACTTTATGGACTCTTAGGCATCATTTGTTGAGACTAAAAAGTGAAATGCACCATAGAAAGGGAAACTATGAATACAAAAAGAGGAGGAGGATGGCAAATAATTAGTGCCATCTCTACTTACAATTAATTCAAGGCGGCGACTATATGTAATCGCAAAAATTACTTAGGGGAAAATCAAATCTAATTTTTCACCAAATGAATTACCAAGAGACTATTATAGTCTTATTAAAATACAAAATCCAAAATTACAAAATTCCACAACTTCCTTTGTGCAAGACCACACAAATAAAAACCCATTTCATCTTCCTCACAAACCCATTTCACGAATTCTATAGAAAAAGTAGAAAACAAACTATAAATGAATGTATTTTTATAGTTAGTTGATCGATTTTTAGAAAATCCACGCAGTCAAAATCCGACATATACATGTCGATTTTTGTCATAAAATTAGATATTTAGATGTTGATTTTTTAGCAAAAAATCGACATTAACTCTAGATGATGATTTTTTGGCAAACAATCGACATCTACATGTCGATTTTGGTGACAAAAATCAACATAAAACATTCATTTTTTCCGTGTTTTTTTTTTATTGATCTTTTCGATAGTTAAGGAAGGAAGATAAAATTAGTTTTAGTAACCTTCCATTGATTGGCAGCTATTTCGATATTTTCGATAGATGTATCAGTTGCCTGACTAGCATTCCATCTCTACAAAGTGAAATTTCTAAAATTAAATTGCACTCGACACTTGTGCTTCGGTTTTTAACAATCCGGTCTGCTTTCAACTCTTTAATTTGTTGATAAATTGCTTCTTTGTTCTTGAAAGATCCTGTTTGTCGTTCGGCAGGATATACAGAAAGTCTTCAATCTTCGTCTCAATTACTGGACACATTTTCGCTTTTTTTTTTTTCTTTTTCTTTTTGTTTTTTGATTTATTTTAAATAAGTTGCTTATATATGTTTACCAGACACAGAATGGTTTTCAGTGTAGTCTTATGAACCACCTAGTATAAAAGTGTTAATTGATATATGTTTGTTTACTCACCTATCTTCTTTTTTTAATCCTTTCGTAAGTCCGTTTATGCTAAAATTAGAAGATTTTGTTCTATGTACCAATGTGTAAAGTTCAATGTAGTTCTTGGCAGAATCTATGATATTTGGTTTACGTAATGTAGTTTCTGAATTCGTATCCCGAAAAATGATAATTGTATGAATATATTTGATAAACTGATTGCTGTTAGTTAACTATACAATCTTTCATTTTCCAAATAAAAGATACCCAACTGATCGACCCTCGTGTTTTTTTCCAAACTAGTTGTGATTCGATCCTTGTTGATGGTGCGGTTGTCCTGAAAGACGACGAGACCATCATTAGTTGTGGAAGCGAAATAATTCCGGGTCCTGAGGCTGATGGTAAGAACCGATATTAAACCGATTTCTTTTAAGTTTTAGTTCTCAGCATGTTTAATCCTATACGTATGTCACACTCAACTCACAAGGGCTATGAGTTAGTGTCAAATCTTTAGTAAGACCTAAATCAGATAACTAAATCGATCTTAAACCATCAGTCGGGGCAAAAATGTCAAAATGGACTTCTAAGAATATACAGAGGAACCAAAGCAGCCAAAAGGCCATTCATCAACTTGAAAAACTAATATGTTACTTTAGCTATGAGGTGTGATTTAAGTTAAATACAGAACATTAAGTTTGAACCTGTATATAATTTCTCGTGTAATCAACCTTGTAACACACGGAAAATCTCTTTGTTTTTCATGTCTCTCAGGGTTTATGAGGTATATGTTTTAAAGTAATGCCTACAAAGCAAATTTGCAAGAAGCAAATCAAGGTAAACATCTTTTGTTATTTGAGTATTACTATCTTTTTTTTTTTTTTTTTCTGTTATGCTAATTATAAAAATGTCGACATTTTGTTCCTCTACTAGATAACTCTAGATCCCGAACACGCGAAATGCTCCATTTGTTTAAATATTTGGCATGACGTCGTCACCATTGCACCATGCCTTCACAATTTCTGGTATGTGACTCAAATCTCTTATTTTAACTACTATTTGTCGTCTGATCTTCGTAAAATATATAGCCAATTATTTTCTCGATTACAGCAATGGATGCTTCTCAGAGTGGTTGAAAAGGTGTCAAGAGAAACGTTCTACTGTTTTGTGCCCTCAGTGTAGAGCAGTTGTACAGTTTGTTGGAAGAAATCATTTTTTGCATAATATTGAAGAGGTATAGTTTTCTTTCACGAGTGGTTACAGTTTTTAGTTCCACAATTACGAGTTCTTACGGTGATATTTTTTCCGTGTTCTTTTTTTTTTTTTTTTTTTACGCCATAGATGTATAATTTTCTAAAATAAAATTGCGCTCGACACTTGTGCTTCAGTTTTTAACAATTCAGCCTGCTTTCAACACTTTAATTTGTTGATATTTGCTTCTTTGTTCTTGAAAGAACTGTTTGTCGTTCGGCAGGATATACAGAAATCTGATCCTTCTCTAACGCGGTCGGATGAAGAAATTGAAACATTAGATCGCTGTTCGTCCATCAAATCGTGCCTTGGTAAGTGTTACCGTTTTCATGCGTTGCTCTTGCAAATCTTGTTTTATTTTACAAGTTGCATTTTCGATATAGTGTGGCATAGCGTACAGATATAATATACAAGTTGCACTGGTTAATATTTTGATACATACTAAAATCTCGTCTTTCTCTTGAGCTTTAATTTTGCAAGTTACTTTTAATATAAAGTTTTACTTATTTTTCAAGTAAACTGTCCAGACTCCATTTGTTACAAATATATAATATTCAATTGTGAACTAATGATGTCCTAAATTATAGGTCATTCCCGGCGCACGAAAAAGTCGGAAGAGAGCTCGTGCGCAAAATAATGATGAGAACGAAAGAGATTTTCCTTGCCCCCAATGTGGTAATAACACTTGTTTTTTCTTTGGGTAATGGCCTCAAAATTTCTTTCTAAATCGACCTAACAATTGACATTTATTGCTGTGATTTCTGAATTCCAAACTGTTCGAGTTATGAACAACTCATTCTTATTACTTATGTGGTGAATAAGAATCTTGATATCTCATGACAACCTTCCTCTAACTAAGTCTTCAATCTTCGTCTCGATTATTGGACACATTTTCGCTTCTTTTTTTTTTTTTTTTTTTTTTATTTTAAATAAGTTGCTTATATATGTTTATCAGGCACAGAGTATGGTGGTTTTCAGTGTAGTGGAAGCACAGTTCATCTTCAATGCGGAGCATGTGGTGGAATGATGCCCGACAGATCAAATCCCATCGTACCACAACACTGTAATAATATTTATGGAATATTATGGAATAAATATAAATATGTAATCTTTTCCGAAACGAGTAATTATATTATGAAATATTTCTCTCTTTTGTAGGTATAGGATGTGATCGAGCATTTTGTGGGGCCTACTGGAATTCTCTGCAATTTCCTGGCAGTGAAGCCTATCCTGTGTGTAGTCGTGAAACTCTAAAACCTGTAAGCACGTTTAAAAAAAAAAAAGAAATCCGAATTAATGTGGTTCGGATATCCGTTTTGTTATTTATTCGCTTTTCTTTTTCATTGATGTGTGTGCGTATAATGTTGCAGATTGTCGAATATTAAGTCACTAGATTGCCACTTGCTGTACATGAAAAGAATAGACACGAACAAGACGTATGGAACTTAGACATATTTCTCTTTCCTCTACATTTATTTATTTATAATTTTTTTTTTGGTTCCGTGTTTTGGTTTACTAAGTCCGTTCACTTCTCTGCAGATAACAGAAAAATGTATCAGTAAAATGGGAAGATCCGTGCAGGATGTGATTTCAGAATGGATAACAAAGTGGAGTAACTGAGAGTTCGGTAATTACTAAATTAAAATTATCATTACATTAGAAGTTCTTATTGGAAAAGCGATTTTTTAGATTCTTATTCCCGTTTTTTCCCTTCTCAGATAGGACAAGGATTCGGTTGAATCACTCTGATATGATTACTCCCGACACACACCTTTGCCGGTAAGTTCTTCAACAAATTGTCTTAATAATAGTGTTATTCGCATGTTCTTCAGCAATTTTTTTTTTCATTTATATGAAAGAAATAATTAGGATATTATTCGATGGATCTTTAAATTGAATGTTGAAGCATAGATTTTTACTTATATATTATATAGGAAAGTCGGGCTACATGTTTTGACCTCATATTTCCTATACAATAAATCACATTTGATCGTAACACACAGAAATTACTAAGCTTACGATCTTTTTTTTTTAACCTGTCATATAACATTTGTGATATTCTTGAATTGCAGAGATTGCTACGACAAATTCGTGTCGTATCTCATGTACTGGTTTCGTGTCTCACTGCCAAAATCCGTAAGCTTCTTAATTTATTTATTTTCTTTCTTTCTTTCCATCATCATTTTAGAAAAAAATGACATTAATAAATTTGATTTTAGAGGTGAATTTTATGAATATATTTGTTTGGTGTAGCTAATGCCTAAAGAAGCAGTAGAGCGGGTAGACTGCTGGTATGGATTTTCGTGTAGGACACAGCACCATAACGAAGAACATGCTCGTAAACGGAACCACGTTTGTCGTCCAATCAGGGGTGACGGTGTGCCTTAATAATAATAAAAAATAATAATATTTGCTTGAGCTCCCAAAAATGAAAACCTCTTAAAATTAAAAATATCTTCTTGTATTTTCTTCTCTCTATCGGATTATTTCCAAGCTCTGTTCTGTAATTCTGCATCTTCAAATGAAACTTAATAGAATAAGAACCAAAAAAAAAAAAAAAGAATTATAATTAGCAAAATACAAATCACATTATTAAATTATATAATCATTGTTTTTTCTCCAAATTTCATATTTTACTATAGGGTAAATTCCACTTTCCCCCCTTGTATTTTGGTTTGATACCACTTTACTCCCTTCTACTCTCGATTGCATCGATCTCCCCCATTGTACTTGAAAAATTGTCTCAATGTAGCCCTCATTGTTAGTTGCTAGACATTTGACCTAAATACCGTTTGATCTAAGCTCTGAAATTACAAAAACACCACCTCCTCCTATTTAAATAATTATTTAAAAAACAAAAAAATAAATAAAAAATCAAGACAACGAGAAAATATAGTCTACGACGCTAGCTACAATTTATTTTTTATTTTTTTTATTTTTTTTAATAATTATTTCAACTGGGAGGGTTGATTTTTTTGTAACTTTCAAACTTAGATCAAACGGTGTTAAGGTTAAATGTCTGAAAACTTACGGTGATGGCCATATTGAGACAATTTTATAAGTACATGGGGGCTAATTGATGCAATCGAGAGTAGAATGAGGTAAAATGATATCAAGTCAAAGTACATGAGGGGAAAGTGGAATTTACCCTTTACTATATGACGTCAACGAGGAGTCGAGGAGCATAAGGAATCTTTAAAAGTAGGGGGCGTAGTGTATAATTTTTTTTATGTGGATTAATGTCGGATGGATATCCATTTGAACGAGTAGAAACTCAAACTCAAAAAACATCTACTCTATCTATATCTATATATTATATAAAAAGAGAATCTATAGCCTCAATGAATGACATGTGTTGTCATACCTCTAAATTGTTTAGTTTGAATTTAATTGATGGGGTGTATTCATTACTCCCTCATTCCCTTAATACTTGTCACTTTTGTCATTTATTCATATTTCAAATTATTTGTCATTTTACTATTTCAATGAATAATTTATTGCATTTTTTCAATTTTGCCCTTTCTCACTCATAGTTAATTGAAATAAAATTGTTTAAAAATCAATTAAAGGCATGGACATTTTAGTGATTTACTATACTTTTTGTTACTATCTATGCATATTTATTGAAATTCTTAATATATGTGCAACTAACAAAAGTGACAACTATTGAGAAAAACGAGGGAGTAATTGATTAGTTGACATTTTTATTAAAGTCTGTTTTTAAGTTCTTTCCTATTTTAGAATTGCACACTCATTTAATAATTACCCCATATATTACATAATATTTCATGCATTTAATATTCTAAAAATTTTAAAAATATCATATTTTTTTTATATTTTTTTATTTTCTGAAATATATTTTTAGAATTTAGTATGAATATTCATTTTTTTTAATATTATACATGTATATTATCGAATTTAGTATCTCTTTTATAATAATATAGAAAATCTTTTATTTTTACATTCATATTGTTTTATAAATATACATTAAAGTATTTTATTAATGCATTATTATGTGTTATATTAATCCAATTAATAATAGGCTATTAATCAAATGAAATATAATAAAATTTGCAATTTATTTTTTGATATATACGAATCTAAAACAATTCCATTAATATATTGTTTTACAATTTTACATTAATTTATTTTATTATTGCATTATCAAATTAATGGAATAGTAATATGTCAATTAATGGAATGAAATATATTTTTCGAATTTAGTTTGAATATTCAATTTTTTTATACTATACATGTATATTTTCGATTTTAGTATATTTTTTAGGGTAAACTCCACTTTCCCCCCCTTGAACTTCGGTTGAATATCACTTTACCCCCTTGTACTCTCAATTGCATCGATTTTCCCCCTTGTACTTTGGTTCGATATCAATTTACCCCCTTCTACTCTCAATTCATCAATTTGCCCCCTTGTACTTTGGCTCGATATCACTTTACTCCATTCTACTCTCAATTGCATCGATTTGCCCCCTGTACTTGAAAATTTGTCTCAATGTGGCCATCGTCGTTAACTTTCAAACCTTTGACCTTAACACCGTTTGATCTAAGTTTGAAAATTACAAAAAAGGCAACCTCCGAGTTTAAATAATTATTAGTTAAAACAAAATTGTGGCTGGTGTCGTGGACTATGTTTTCTCGTTGTGTTGAATTTTATATTATTTTATTTTTTGTTTTTTAATTTTTAATTTTTAATTTTTTTGTAAGTTTTTTTAATAATTATTTAAATTGGGAGGGATGACTTTTTTGTAATTTTCAGACTTAGATCAAAAGGTGTTAAGGTCAAAGGTCTGAAAACTAACGGCGAAGGCCACATTGAGACAATTTTTCAAGTATATGGGGGAAATCGATGCAATTGAGAGTAGAAGGGGGTAAAGTGATATCGAGCCAAAGTATAAGGGGGCAAATGGATAATTGAGAGTAGAAGGGGGGTAAAGTGATATCGAACCAAAGTACGAGGGGCAAATCGATGCAATTGAAAGTATAAGGGGTAAAGTAATATGCAGCCAAAGTACAAGGGGGAAAGTGAAATTTACCTACTCTCAATTCATCAATTTGCCCCCTTGTACTTTGGCTCGATATCACTTTACTCCATTCTACTCTCAATTGCATCGATTTGCCCCCTGTACTTGAAAATTTGTCTCAATGTGGCCATCGCCGTCAACTTTCCGACCTTTGACCTTAACACCGTTTGATCTAAGTTTGAAAATTACAAAAAAGGCAACCTCCGAGTTTAAATAATTATTAGTTAAAACAAAATTGTGGCTGGTGTCGTGGACTATGTTTTCTCGTTGTCTTGAATTTTATATTATTTTATTTTTTGTTTTTTAATTTTTAATTTTTAATTTTTTTGTAAGTTTTTTTAATAATTATTTAAATTGGGAGGGATGA